ATTCAGGGCCAGTGCTATCCACTAGGTAAACTTAGCGATCGCCCAGGGCGCCAATATCTAGAAGCGCCACAAATTCTTTATTTTTACTTTTACCTTTATCATTTTCTGTACAAAGTTAGATAAAATTACCTAACCTAATTAAAAAATACAAAACTTAATAATGAAGGGAGGAATGGCTATGATTGACGACAGTAATGTTAAAAATTACCTCTGTTGATGAAGTGTGCATTTTGCTCTCAAGGCAAATACCGAAAACACACAAAACCAAGACGAGAATCAATTTTTCCTTCCTGTATTTTCGCTCATTTTCAAAGCCCTGCCCACTTTGGAAGGATGCACAGTCGTTATTAGTGTAAACGATTCATTCACTAAGCATTATCTGCAAAAATAAATCATGTTCGTTAAAATCACCAAAAAACTGAAGTAAACATTATTTTAGTAAAGAAAAATCCCTACTTGGGCATAAAACGATTCTTTACCCATTCCCTTGCCTAACCTTACCTTCATTATCAGATGGAGGAGGATAAAGTGATGCCACTTGTATGAGGAAGTGGTGCAGCATGGTGTTGTCGTTGTAATGAGCTTGGATCTACCGCACAAATACTTTTGGTAATGTTCCTTGTTTCTGTCATGAAGCACACAACTTTTGATATCCCTTAATATGTTCTATATTTTGCGTATGCACGCCAGTAGTAGGATCCAGAAGGTTTACAGTTCTGTGGATATAATCAATTGCACCGAGGGTACTGTATGCCCTCCATATATCGATGTGAATAACGCTACCGACCTTTACAAAACACTTATGAACACATTGTTTACTTGGCTTAAGGTTCCTACTTATCATTACTCCTAAATTTCTCTCGCAGTCGGATTTCTCAATGGCATCGTTGTTCATCTGGTATCTGGTTTCCCTCAGTGTCAAGACCTGACTGAATTACTCAGAATAGGCAAACTGTACTACAAGCTCTGCCAATAAATTTGTTAAACTAAACTATCGAAACCAAAGACTATAATAAGAAAGATAGGAAAGCGTCTACCTTTACTGATAAAAAAATACGTGAGCCACTGGGCTCCGATCAACGCCATCTGTTGGCAACGCCACTAACTAAAAGCACGGTGCACGTGAGGGTAGCATGCCCATGTTTCCTTGGTAACCAGCGGAGTGAGCTTGTGTTTAACGTTTTCATGTGTGTTATACTGTATATCATTGATCATATATAATTTACTGTGTTATATTGTATATGTGTGTCAGTGTGTATGTGAGTGTGTGCATGTGTACTCATTGAAAACGTCAAGGCAAAGAGGTCAAGGTAATAATAACCTTGACCTCTTTGCCTTGACGTTCTTAATGTGTACACATGCACAAACACACACACACATACTGTACATACTGACACACACACACACACACATACTGTACATACTGACACACACACACACACACACACATACTGTACATACTGACACACACACACACACACATACTGTACATACTGACACACACACACACACACACACATACTGTACATACTGACACACACACACACACACACACACACACACATACAATATCACACAGTAAATTATATATGATCAATGATAGATAGCAACGTGAAAACGTGAAACACAAGCTCAGGGTGATCAGTTTTTACGGGTGATGGTGACGCCCACTCATGGTTAAATGTCCCGCCGGTCTTCATGTCAACCAGGGGTCCGCAACCTTTTTATACTAGTCGGCCACTTCAGCTGGAAAATAATCTCAGCGATCGGCTGCAGCTGTAACCAGACAACAAAAGTCAACAACGCATTACACAGGATTGAATGAGCAAGCAGAAATGCAGGACTATATTTTACTTTAAGAAGAATTTTTACAAACAACATCGATATAAAGGCATTCACATTTGAAATACAAAAAAAAAAAAAAGAGAAAAGTACTTTATGATATATTATAGTGCAGAAACAAAAAAGCCTTATGATATCTTTAAAATAAAAATGTCTTTCAGCTGTTACTATAAGGTAACATAAAGCTGACTTTTTGCAATGCAAAATAAGGACTCACATTCCAAATACATATACACAGAACAATACTAAAGCTAATGTGAGGGTTGAGCCTGGATATGATTTGCAATTTCAGCAAAATTTGGTCTGAAACAGAATACCTATATTACAGAACCTTTCCCTGTCACTTGACTAGAATCACTCATACAGTATTTCAAAAAGTATTAATTGTAGCAATTATTTATAGACACAGTAAAAGGCAAAAACTAAATATGTTGTAGGTTATTCATAAAAGGTAAACAAAATGTAATGCACAATTTGTCTTGCTTTGCCGAGCATTCTGCTGGCCCTAGCAGTAAGCAACTTGTCCCTACACACAGTTGTGATGTAAGCACAAATCCCCTAGTGTTTGTTATAAAAATGTATATGACCATCGTCACCATCGTAATTCCAGTGCAGTTATCTGAAACATCTACAGGAGAGGGCGTAGCCTAGTAGCGATCAGTTGATGATGTTTTGAGGTAGCAACAGACGAGTTGTGATAACACACGCTCTTTTCTCCTGCATTACGATTAAATATTTTATTGTGATATAAACTACCTTGTTCTATACATATTCACGATTAATTTATAATGTTATTATGTATAAAACTTACCAATAATTGGGGCTGAACGTCGTTCAGCCGGCCGCATGTATAACAATTCCCTGCCACACACGGCCGGAAAAAGGAAGGTTGCGGACCCCTGACAGACGACCCGCGCCTTGATAAACTAACTATAGCTATCTGTTGATCCCGCGGCCAACTATATGCAATGTGGCTTACGCGGTTTTCGCTTTGCTCTCCTGTCTTTCTTATTATAGTCTTTGATCGAGACCCGAAAACTATAAATTTGCTACGGAAACGCTATTAGGTTAAGTATTATTTTTTTTTATCTCCTTTTATGAAAATTAATATAGTTTTATGGTTGGTCTCGACTGAATCTTAGCCCCTTTTGGTTAAGGAAATTACAACTACTCTATACTTTACTTTAAACTCATGAGTTAAGGGCGTAGAAGCCTGAAGAGTCAAGGGCGTAGAAGCTTGAAGAGTCGAGGGCGTAGAAGTCAATGGTTTTATGTCTAAGCAAGTTATTGGAAGCTCCAACAACTTTCCTTGCATACGAATTCGCAACTTTCGATTTACAGTAGGTACCTACTTTTGCTGCTAGGTGAACAGGGACCAAGGGGGGCTGGGAAGTGTTTCCAACCAACTTTCCACCGGCCCAGGAATCGAACCGTGACATCTCGCTTGAGGTCGAGGGGAAATGTTGGGTAAAATACTAAAAAGAAAACCAAACAAGCCTTTGAAAACATTACCTAACCTATAAAAAGGTTAAAAATGGCTTTCGAGGTTATGAATCCCCTTTCCCCGCCCCCTTCCTAACCTGAACACCGAAAAAAAAACACTAACACATTAAACACTGAAAACAATTAATAAAGTAAGTGTTTCATAGTTTTGGGATTTTTATAGGTTAGGTAAGGTTTTTTAGGGTTTGTTAGTTTGGGCTTTCTTTTTATTAATTTATCTCATATTTCCCCTCAACTTCAAAGCCCTAACCACTTTGAACAACAAATATTGTTAGTAATGTTATCGGTTAAAATACTCGAAAAATATAAATTCGCGCAGGAAATGCCATAGAAGAAAATCAATTCCTAACTAAAAAAGAATCCTAGTAACAATGGTAAAACAAAATCCGAGATATTAACCCTTTTGGTCACTGATCGCACTTGGTTGGGCGATTAGCCACGTCTCTGTTATATACTGTGGCTAAGTATTGGACATGTACTGGCTCCAGATGTATCTGTACCCATACTAGTGTTGGAATATACATATACTGTTCACCCTTCTCTGCTATTGCACTATCCAGACTTTTATTTATTATTTTCACCTTACCTTATATTTTTTCCCTTTTAATTAGTTATACTGTGTCTGTTCTGTGGGTTAATCTGGAAAGACCACATCATTCTCTATTATTACACATTCTTGCAATATACTTATCAAAGCTGTAAACATGTAGTATTTTGAATTGAAGTACTGTACAGTAAACATGAAATACATGTACTAGTATTGAAGTAAATATGTAAGACTGGTGGATGGAAATAAAGTCCACAGGAAAAAAAAGTCACATGACTTGTACACATTGACAACACATATATATATATATATATATATATATATATATATATATATATATATATATATATATATATATATATATGATGGCATTGCACGTAGGTTAGGTTAGCTTAGGGGTTTTCCGTGCCTTTTCATGTGATTTTTTTTCCTGGATTCGTAAAACTAGTACCCTGTACGCAAGTAAATGTAGTACATACAGTATATTAGTACTGTATTGACGTAAACATATAGTATTAAAGTAAACGTTCTGTTTAATGCAGAATGGCCAGAAAATAAGAGCACAATTCCATTCATTCATTCATGCTGTGTATTTAATTATCAGGTAAATGATACAATTTTTTATTATTATTATTACTGTATATTACACATTTGGTAAAATTTTCATCCAGTACAAATAAATATCCCAGACCCTTTGTTAAGGGTTATATTATGATCCTGACAACCACAACCATGTCGTCAGGTCTCACACTACAGTAATGCACAGTAAATTGGACTGGAGTAATGCTCTGCATAGTGCTCAATTGTAGCATTACAGTATATATGTGATATTTGGTATTTTGGGTCACACATTTACTGAAAATACATTTGTTTTTTGTTTAAACACAGCAAGTGTAAATTGATAGCAGTACTATACTGTACATGTAAATAATACTTATTGTATATTGTACAAAACTTTATAATACTGTATAGACGAGGAATAATCTAATCCAGTGGTTCTCAACCTTGTTTGCCCCCATGCACCCCTTTCACCATATGTCAGAATGTCATTCCCCCCTCCTTTCCAAGATTGTCTGCCTCAAAAAGTGCATTCCAAATAATATGCATATAATACTGAAAATCCTTTATTTTTTCCATATTAGTATCAGTTTCCCCCCCCCCCCTGAAAACCTGAGGGGGGGAAATTCCCCCCTGGTTGAGAACCCCTGATCTAATCTTTAGTTTTCACCTTTGTGTGATAGTGGGCTGCAGCTACCTCCAGAGTCTTCAATATAGCCAGTGAGATATCATGAGTTTTAGGTTTGTTTGGCATAAGTAAGTCAGTCACGAGTTTCAGGCCACGAGTCTCTACAGTTGTTTCCATCATCCCTGGTTGAGGCAGTCTTACATCCTGCTGGTGACCACAGTGTAGGTCCGCACCGTGAGGTCCGGCCTTGCGACATTTCATAAATTCTGCTTCTAGAAGCATGCACTGCTCCATCAGATGATTAGGCAAAACTGAAACACCAGACAAATGTAGCTCATGCTTCATGAACTGACAGAAGAGTAATGAACAGCTAGCTTTATTACAGCCCAAGGAATGTTTGCTCACAATTTTAGTAAAAGCGTGCCATACTTGGCATCGGTGCCGGAAAAGTGTGATGTGTACATATGCTGCCCGAAGGACGTTGCACCTTTGGCATCCTAGGCCAGGACATGCCTGGTGGTGCTGCAGTAACAATGTGGACTGCATCTCTGAACATAAATTGAGATCTTCAAGTGTGGATGATGGGAGACAAGGGAACTGTGGGAGGTTTTTAGTATTAGCTGTCTGGACTGCATAGGAGACTGCAGGATTCTCCTCAAACAGGGCTGCTTCTAATTTGCAAGCTCTCTCAGCTTCTGTGAGTCCTGCACTTCTTTCTGATAGCAATTTAAAAGTGGTGTCCAAAACTGCCTTCTTCAAACTTATTGCTCTTAGTCTATCATCAGACTCAGAAATTCCAATCTTCATTTCACGACTCTGACATGATAATGGCATGTCTTCCTCCGGTATCAAGTTTTCTGTATTTGACAACTCACTTTTTACATTTAGAGTTTTATCAATTGATTTTGAGCACCCTGTACTAGTAGGGTGTAAAGGGTTACCACTTCCCTGTTTCTTTCTTTTTGTTATCCTTTTTTGGAAGTTTTTATATTTAAATATATCAGCACCACTATTGTTTACCACAAAACTTCTGATATCTTCATCCCAGCTTCTTATTTTTTTGTTTACTGATTTTTTCCCAACTTTACTTACCCTCTGGTGTGGCTCAGCAACCTTACTTTCATTCTCCACACTAAAAATCTTAGATGTATCTTCATTACCCTTGTTATTTCCACACTCTATGTCAGACACTACATTCCTAACATTTATTATATCACTATTTAACTCATGCTCATCACTCGTTATGTTGTTCCCTTCATCAACTTCACCATTAAATAGATTCAAAGTGTTTTCTGTCTCTAAGATATTAATTTTACTTTCAGCCTTTGCAACAAATTTAAAATTTTCTTTTACATCAGCATTTGTTTTTGTAACTTGGTTTAAAAATTCTACCTCACATTCACCTACCTCATTCACACTCCTTGTAATTCCTGATCTCATAGTATATTTTGTATCACAATCAGTCAGTTGAACTTTATCCCTTAAATGATGTTTCTGAGATACTTCTGATGCATCTCCAGAAATACCACACCTATAAGAGACCAAATGCTGCTCTGATTTCATTCTCATATCTACAGAAGAAAATGCATCATCCTCAGCCATTTCACTCTTAATATAGTCGAGGACATCCATATCCTCCAAGTGTGGCTCAGGAACACAGGAAGTCGCCTGGGTATCATCAATTACCAAGTGAGAGTCATCATTCTCCTTATCAAATGATTCTGTCTCGCTCCCTGTTATAGTACTATACATGTAGCCCTCACACACAGTTGAATTCCCTCTCTTTTCACAATATGTTAGCGAGTCATGTTTTTTTTCCTCCATAGAACTTGATAACGAACTAGTCTTTTGTCTCTCTGTTGAACATTCTAATGACATCAATTTATCACTGGATTGAGATTGGAGAGACTCGTTCAGGTTAGATACTGTTTTAATTTGTATTTTATTTCCGAGTGCTGAGGGAGAAGGAAGTCCTCTGTCACCTAAATTATTATCACATTTAACAACTGTAACTGGAGATGGACGAGTGGCATTCTGTCCAGGTAATGGTGATGAGAGAATCCCTGGTTTATTTACCCTTGACAGCACTTGAGAAGTATTCGAGAACATTTTAGCTATGGCCTTAGCTTTAGAATTTGGCAAAAGTTTTTCAGTTTCAACATAGATGTGATTGGATGCCTGACTTACTGGAATCATCACACATGGGACACCCTCATAATCGAAGACACTCTCGGGGGGTGGGTTGCATACAGCTACTGACAGTCCCCCATCTCTGTCTGTGACAATCGTTGGCTTTACTCTTGGCGTTCCAATCACAATGGCTTTTTTCCTTCCTTCATTATTCTTCACATTACTTGGGGTTTCTTCTTTTGCTGAGGGAGGGGAAACTTTTGTGAAAATGGTTGTTTTCCTTTCCCTTGAACTGTCACTACTTGGGATTGTGTTTGCTTTCCTACTAACAATGATATGCTGCATATCTTCTGTCTTGGCTGTGTCATCTGGCTTCCTGTCCTCCTTTGTAGTTTTAACACTTATTATTTTTGGACACCAAACGCCACTTTCAGCTAATGGACTAGTGTTGATCTGAATCTTGACAGGATATTGTTGCAGAGTTGTTGCTTCAGTTAATTTGTGGGACATCATTGAGACATCATCTCGACGTTTCACCAGATCCAGATCCTGGTAATAGAAACCCAGCTCAGATCGCTTCCTTCTTGTAGGAAATTTCCCCCTAATCACAACTGACATCTGAAAGAAAAATATTTATTTTAGCCTTCGACTTTACCAATGTGTATTGGAATGAGTGAGTAAACTGGGATTTGAAGAATTCAAGTCACTATTGAAGGGGATGAATCCAAGAGAAATCTTAGCACTAAGAAGTAACTCAAGTGTTAAGCTACCTGTAGTTTGAAAGAAGCATATGGAAGTACTGTATAGGAATAACCAGCCTTCTTTTTTAGTAACTTTGGAAATTCATTTAGAAAGCAAAAAACAACAATGAAGATCATACATAATTTCCCTTTAAACATAATAAAAAAAATATCAATAATTGCCTACCATGACTATACTAAAAAATAAACTAAAGCAAATTTTGATGAATACAGTGCTCCAAACTTTTATTTTATCACACAAAATAGCTCAGAAATTTAATACGATCCAACAGCATTTGCTCCCTTAGTTTCTTGTCATCATATAATGCATATATTATGACTCACTGCACACCAGAATGGTGCATTCATACATTATTGTGACCCTACAGAGGTATTTTATCTTGTAAAGTAATCCCGTGTTTTTCACGTTTTTTTTTATCGCGGTTTTGACCATTCGTGGTTTTTTACTAAAAAATTATTATATATATATATATATATATATATATATATATATATATATAAGTTTGATATATATAAAACAAATGGATAAGATAAATCTTGATAAATCACGGAAAAGGAAACAACGGAGCACCTTAGCTTTCAGTTGCCTCTGAAGATGTCTTGAATAAAGACGAAAAGCTAAGGTGCTCCGTTGTTTTCCTTTTATTTTTATACATACATACATACATATATATATATATATATATATATATATATATATATATATATATATATATATATATATATATATATATATATATATATATATATATATATATATATATATATATATATATATACACACAAAATAAACTTTAAAATAAAAATTTTAAATTTTGCGCCATTTTCGATATTCCCCTGTGCGGTGCAGTAAACAGACGCCACCCTTTTCCGCCTCAGACACCCGCTGCTCCGAGAAGTCTCAATCCACACATGCCTACCGTACTGTGAACGCTACTGTGATTACCTCTTCTGTTTGTCCTCCCACGTGCATTCCACATGACTCCGGGACGTAAGCCAGCCTCATCAAAGGCAAATATTACAAACGAAGACTCTAAAGTGACCAAGAGATCAAGAAGAGTGATGACCTTTACGGAAAAAAGTGTTTTATTGGACAAGCTCAGAGGTGGTATGAGAGCTATGGCTCGAGATGTGGTGAAGACTGACAATTCATATGTCTTTTGTCAGAATACAAGTCTTCAAGTGGAAGAATGTGGGTGAAAGAGGACTGGCTGGCTGGCGTGACTGCGTGAGGGAGGGCAGTCGCCAGGACAGCAGGGAGAGGCTGGCAATGTGGGTGTTGCCGACCTCAGCAAAATAGAAAAATTTCTATTTACTTGTAAATAATTTTTTTTTGTATACGTATAACTGGGTTTATGTTTTTCCACTATCATACTACAATATGATTAGTTTCAAATAATGATGTTGGTAGATGCCGGTACAGTGCATCAGTGATCAGTGTGACCACTGGGCCGTGAGTGGAGAGCATGGTGTGGTTAAATGCATGACCTACCTGAGCTGTTTGGTAGCCACAGGTACAGTGATTCCTAAAAGAGCATTCGCGGTTTTGGCTTTTCGTGGGGGTTTGAGGAAAGTAATTCCTACGAAAAACACAGGCTCACTGTACAGGTATATGCCAAATATGGTATAAATCCAAGAATCACCTTTGTATGTACCGGTATATTATTTATTGATGAATGAATGACAGATCAATAGACTTCCTCATCTTATTAGCCGTGGGTGATCACCCTATAACTTTAGACTAAACACCAATATTGTACGTACTTGTAAAAATTAAGAAAACGTAGAAAAAAAAATTAAATGTCTGATGAAGTTAGCCAACAGACAGTTTATCCTACAGACATTACACTCTTAAGTGTGGATACATAAAAGGAAAAAACAAAAGCAATTGAGAGTACAGTATTGAAGTATGAATACTCCTTAAAACTACTTAAATTTGTGATGTCTTATAAGTAAGAAATGACATGAGAGTTAAGAGAGACTGCAAGATGCTGTGCAGCGTGGAAAGATGTCATCAGGCAAGTGTGGTTAACCTACAAAAGCAAAGAAAATGGCCATAAAACATTGATGATGACATCTAAAAAGTTGCTATTTAACCTGTCCTTACATAATACTTACAGTTGTCTGAGGCAGTGGGTCATTAGGATGGTCCTGAGCATATGCTTCTTCAATTGCACTAGCAGTAGTGACAGCACCTTTCTTGTCCACCAAGTTGGCATCCACCCACTGACGTGCCAAGGGCATTCTATGTTTGATTGATGTTGGTGAGGAACGTTTAACATCTCTGGGTAGAGAAGTTCTAGTGGGTGAAACTTTGGAATGACGTTTCAGTCTAAGATCAACATTTTCTGGCTCCTCGGTTGATGGAAATGTCTGGGTCTGGGGATATGTCTGTTCTGATTGTAAGATGTCTAGTGGTAGGACACTTTCCTCCTTCACCTCAATCTCTTCCTTTATTTCTTCTCTGAGGAGGAGTGTAGAATTATCTGAAAGACAAAAGACAAGTTTAATGCCATTTTGCTCAAAATTTCATTCATTTCAATGGAATATTTATTTCTCCAGTACCTACACATTTTTATATAACAAGTAGAAACTGAATAAATATACTACATATTAATCACCTCAGGAACTCATTTATTATCAACACATTACCGATATTTATTCTGCAATTTTTTCCTATAAGTAGTGTGGTACTCAGCTATAAGAAATGCTATTATACCATGACCATATAAACTACACACACAACCAAACATAACTTCAATTGGCTTTGGGCATTGTGAATTGATTATGATAACTTATCTTTTACAGTACAGTATATAATATAATTACCTATAAAGTCAGTGGATGAGGAGTCATTTCTTTCATCTGTGGCTTTCAGTTTCTTATGGTGGACAGGTGACACAATACAGTTCTCATCCATTGATTTCCTCTTTGTCTGGATGAAGGGTGCAGCAACCAAACTCTGATCACGATCCTCTGCTTCTTCTTTGATCACAGTTGCTCTACAAGTTTCTTTTGGGACAGACAACAATATGGGTCCAACTGCTGGATTCCTGATTGTTGTTTGATCCAAGAGGTTATAACTTTCAGAAAATTCACTCTTGATTTGGAGAGGAGGTGGTGGTGGGTCAGGAAGCTCTGCAGGATTGTTCATGATGCTGTGTGTTGAGGCTATATTCACTCTGGACTTGAGAGCAACACCCTGATAGACATATATCTGAGCGCCCTGCTTGCCTCGGCGTCGCTTTCTGTCGGGGAACTGTGAACTGAGCACTTTCCCAAACTGTTGGAAAAGAAGATGATAGTTACATTCAGGCTATTGCATGTCCTCTAGTAGGGGTCAAATTCTCAACCCAGAAGATCAATGAATCATAATTGACTAACAAAATTATGAACAATAATTAACAACCATATTTAAATTACTGTATTTATAATACAAATAAAACCAAAATTTTTATTTAACTAAAAAAATTGCATTAATAATTGAGGAGCTCTGGACCATAATCTGCTAAGAGCCTAAATAGAAAATGGAGGAAAATGCTCAGAAGACTCTCACTAACATGTACAGTGTCCCATACTTCCACCTGTTACGGACACCGTTGTCAATCCTCATCTCCGAGAGTTGTGATCCACTGGAGTATGAACCTGCGTCTGAAGCATTCGCTCATGACGTGCAGTTGGGGACCGGAGGCCGGTGTGAGAGGAGGGTGATGGGTTGGGAGGGGGGGGGTGAAGAGAGTAGAAGTGGAGGTGGGCTAGAGGAATTGTGCAGCTAACAAGACTAGACTTTTTATTATATAGAAGCATATAATAAGTTAACCTGTCACTTAGTGCCATGATTCACTCATACTGGCTGTGAGCTAATACTGTATTTACTAATTCTTGCTTTGTTCAACCACTATCACCAGAAAAGAACCTCACTAAACCATATTCACACCACACTCATGATAATGCCCAACAATAATCACATTTTTGTAACGCTTATTAATCCACCGCGCTAGGCATTAGAGGCCATGTAGCACAGCTATGAGAAGGGAGAACACTACCTCTCCCACCCGAGGCATGGAAGATAAGGGACAAGTAAAGGGCACAGACCTTCTCCATCCTGGGTCTAAATCTTAGCGGGAGTTTTATTTGCCTTATTTACCTTTGTGCAATCAACAGGCATTAACCTGTATTTTAAGTAATTAGGTATGGCAGAGTCTAATTACAGGGAACTACTGATATTTGTTTAATGAATATCCATGCCATTGGCTGTATAACCAAGTATGACAAGGAAATTAAATGGCATGCTTAATTCATAGAATTGTCAAATTACACAAAGTTTATGTTACGAGGTGTAATATGGTTATCATATAATATCTTAAGAAGCCATTGACTAATAGACATTATAGTCTACAGTGGTGTGTGGGTTAGCGAGTAGCCGGCCATGGCTACTCAGTCTTTACTTATTCTCCATCATCATATATACAAAACTTTTCAATATTCCTAATTCATTCAAACAGGCTGAGGGCAGCCTATGCCAGCAATGGTGTGTATAATTAGGATGGAAGGTGTGCATCAATTACCCTCTGGATTGGTTTGCATAATTATTTTTCTTGGTAAATGACTTTCAAATGATAGCATTACATTTGCTGAGGAAGCTATTAAGTGCCAATTCATATTAGAATAACTTCAATGAAACTTGTTTGTGTGGTCATTTAGAGAAAGCTTCCGAGAACAACGTCTTAACCGATTACCGGTATACTAATCAGGAAAGGCTTCCACTTAGATCTAACCACGCTGCTCTACCTGGTATGGTTAACCACTGCCAGGCGTAGATGTTGCTTTCATTTGCACTCTATCCTATACCTAAATACAGTTGTTTAACAGCAACCTATTGTTCAGCGAATCTTACAATTCATTAAGTTTACCGTCCATAGTATTGACTGACCATAAAAGCTTCCCCAGAGGGCAATATTGTGCACTACACGCAGTATGCCTGGTGATCAGCACTGGTCAGGGATCAGCAGTTCAGTCATAACTACAGTACGTATGTGCTTTTGGTTTTCCTTCATGGCCAGGTTTTGTTTCTAATCCTTACAATACATATTATATACTGTATATTACATACACACGAGTGGGTATGCCCCTCGGGCTGGTGACAGTTCCTCGCGTTTTTGCGGGGAGGGAAAGACCTGAAGGAACAGAGCATGACTGATGGCCGTCTGTGTGAATAGGGAAGGAGGGGAGCAGGAGAGGGCGTGTTGTATAATTTTGGCTTTGCTAGTTTCCGATACCACATTATTCTCTTTATTACATATTAATAGTTTGATTAATAAATACTGGGTTATAGTTGGAGACGTTTTAACTTGCCCTCTCCCAACCCTGTTGCCAGCTTCCACTCCTACCCTCCTCACACACTGGCCCTCGGTCCCCCACTCCACACTCTCGGAGATAAGGATTGACTACAGGAAACTTTTACATTTCGTTAGCCAATCAACCATATTCAGGACATATATTGTACTTAATAACAATATTTGAAAATCCTTATCTGGGTAAAACACCCTTTAAGCTGGAGGAGTGAATGCTTCAGATGCGGGTGCATACTCTCGTCGTTTACAACTCTCGGAGATTTGGATTGACAATGCTGACTATAGCAGGTGGAAGCGTGGGAGGGTTTACATGTTCCCAATTGGCCCTATGACTTAAGAAGGGGGCAGCGAAGAGGCTGGGGAATACAATGCAGTACGTTTCAGCGACATTTGGCTCTTAGCAGGTTATGGTTCGGAGGTCCTCAATAAATATATATATATATATATATATATATATATATATATATATATATATATATATATATATATATATATATATATATATATATATATATATATATATATTACACAGTATTACTTAAAAATACAATTAGTAACATGGAAAACTTGCATTCATTTCTTAGACAAGGATGACTTACCTGCCCAATGTCCATATAGTGGTGGGGATTATCTTCAATGTATGCATTGTAAAGCTCACAGACTGGCGTACTGGCGCCTGGCCTGTTCTCGACTTGCTCCGCCACCCAGTCATCACACACCCTCCTCCACTCTAACACCTTCATGTGCCTGTTGAGAAGTTCATGTTTAATTTATTCTTAACTATGTGTGTTAATGGTCCTGTCTCCTAACAAATTTGCCGTCATAATCCATTGGAATGATTACCTCTATATCAAGTTAAATATGCATTTTCGTTACAGATTCTTTGTAAGTTCCCCATTACAATACTCTACAATAATCAACACTTTTAATCTTCCATTACATCTGACCTCTTTTAATTTACCCACCAATCAGTTTACGAGCTGTTCTGGCAGTTGGTCTGTTCTTTATGACCTACATTGTCCAGTGTTGGTACGGGAGGTAACCCGTGATGTTTGGTAGGGTCACGCTGAATAATGCTGGACCGTGTACCCTTCTCCAATGTATCCGGGACAAGCACGACACGAACTCATGTCATAATTGTTAAGATTTTAATGATCTTGAGTTGTAATAACCCATCATCCCGGCGGTCACCTCTCATCAGTTCAGGTAGCACACTGCACGTAAGGGGCTTATGTAGAGGTGAATGTGCCAAGCCTTGTCAATAACGCCACTGAAGAAGTTGAGGAGAGCGGCAGTTCAGGGGCAGACCCTGTCAGGATCCCACCCCTTCTCATCATAAAATTCACCTACCTATTCTTTAATGTTGCATTTACTCTGGTATTTTTGCATAGTAAAGAGTAATTGCTATTGACATCATAATATCTCCTAATATCAAAATGCCCACGATATTTGTCAGCTGGGTGGGCTCGCTGCGCTCGCCATGTTGGTATTCCTGGATTCGCCCCTGAACTCAGTTGTCACAAACTCTTTGGAATAAATATTTCGTCTGCCATTGTGGGCTTCTTCTGATCATTAATGCATAAGAAGTCACAGAAAAATTGCATTTTTTTATAAAGTTTTACTTTTTAATGTTCCCACAATGATCAATTTCTGACCTGATAGTCACCTGGCGTTGACTTTGACCCTCACTCACCACGCCACTGAGGCGCAGTGAGCCAACACCTTCGACAAATCCTCTGTGAATTACGATGTCATTGGCAAGGCAATTGGTGACTCGGAGGACCCGTGTATATCTAGTGTAAATATTATTTACACCCAGGCCTACTACCATTGACATTATTGACAGTAATAAATGTGATTAAAAATCTGCTACAATCAGTTCATCTAATATACTATAGCGCTATCCGAATGTATGTCTGTCTGTCTGTCTGTGCAGCCGAAACGGCACAATCGTTTTTCATCAAACATGGTGGAAAAATCGCAAAATTTCATAGAGTGGAACAAACCTGGTCCCATGTCGGTGGTTTCTTTAGGAAGCCATGAATAAACCATTTTATTTACGATGGAAAACGCACTCTAATTAACCATGCAAGTCTACGGACTTGCCACACCCTCATTCGCTGTACGCTGTATACAATACAGTACAATACCATACCATACCATACCATACAATACACAACGAACTATAAATATTTGTAAGAATAAAACAATTATATAGACATGCAAGACTCACAACTTGATAAGATATCCGTAAGACATTAGCTATTGGAAATGTGATTAAATGTTTTGTTATTAATCCAGTGTGAAATGTATCGGTATTGGTGGCACAATCCTAATGGTGTCTAATCCTGTTGAGTAGGTGAGGTTAATCTGGGTTTATTGGGATTAAAGATAAGGTATGGGGTTTATTCTACCTGTTAGTCTCAGGTACGACCCTTATTGTAACAATCACGACCATGATTATAACAACCAGGACCATGATTATAACAACCAGGACCATGATTATAACAACCACGACCATGATTATAACAACCACGACCATGATTATAACAACCACGACCATGATTATAACAACGACCATGATTATAACAACCACGACCATGATTATAACAACCACGACCATGCGACCATGATTATAACAACCACGACCATGATTATAACAACCACGACCATGGCACGACCATGATTATAACAACCACGCACGACCATGATTATAATTAGCACGACCATGATTATAACTAGCACGATTCATAACCACGACTATGATTATAACAACCACGACTATGATTATAACAACCACGACCATGATTGTAACAACCACGACCATGATTATAACAACCACGACCATGATTATAACAACCACGACCATGATTATAACAACCACGACCATGACTATAACAACCACGACCATGATTATAACAACCACGACCATGATTATAATACGACCATTATAACAACCACGACCATGATTATAACAACCACGACCATGATTATAACAACCACGACCATGACCATGATTATAACAACCACGACCATGACGACATGATTATAACAACCACGACCATGATTATATGATTATTATGATTATACGACCATGATTATATCACCCACGACTATGATTATATCACCACGACCATGATTATATCACCCACGACCATGATTATATCACCCACGACCATGATTATAACAACCACGACTATGATTATATCACCCACGACCATGATTATATCACCACGACCATGATTATAACAACCACGACTATGATTATATCACCCACGACCATGATTATATCACCCACGACCATGATTATAACAACCACGACTATGATTATATCACCCACGACCATGATTATAACAACCACGACCAACTGGAAAACGATGCGCTGTATGCTGTCAGCCGGACGGCGGTGGTTGCGCGCTAACCAAGCACGAGCGTTCGAACTTTCACGCCTTGGTAAACTGTACCACCGGACTCGCCACCGGGCACAAAGGGCCCACGATCACTTGTGAATACTAATACCATGTATACCACTCACAAAACCAAGTTGTGGTGGGAATGTTAGAAAAGATTCAGTTGTCGCTGTCGGGGCAGTATGACGACAAACTGTTTCATTAGTTTATGTTGTCAAGATATTTAATAAGATGCGATTTTGTAATATACCTATAATGCCATGATACATTGAGTTGTGAATGTCGTCAATCTGTGGAAGTTATGCATTGTCAATTAACGACTGCCAAATATTCCGTTTGGTTGTATTACTTTGCTTGTTAGTGGTATTTAAGTGTCCATTTTTTCAATGACAAAATTGAGACTTTTCTTGGAACTTTATTTTCTTTCATCCAAAATTCCAGATCCGCTACTGAACTCCTTCACTTGATATCGATACAATGATTCCCAACCGTATGTTATAAGTTATCCTCGGTAATTTTTATATACGTATGCTCATACTATATGTATATTTACTTAGTAAATTAAATTAAAATAAAACATCAAACTCACAAACTTTTCTTAAGTCTCCCACCCAACCTGTATTGTTCTCTAAAATAGCCACATCTTTGAGGGAGGACTCACTTAGAGAAACATTTCAATTACTTTTTTATTTTCCTTTTTTACTAAGCGGCTGAAATGCAGGTTGATGGATAAACTTAGATATATAAATCGTCATACAAATTCAATGCTTCAACATAAATATATACAGTGTAATTTATACAAATAATGGTAAACAGTAATTCAATTCAATTATGAAAGCTCTTGTGTTTAACTCTCCAATGTAGTCACCCAAAAAAGTCCTGTCGCGAACCACGAACCCCGAGATTCAGACTCGTGAACCCGAAGCAGTACACACTGATACATTATTCTGTCCATAAATCTTGGGGTTCTTGGTTCGCGGCAGGACTTTTTTGGGTGACTGTACGTTAAGTTTTTTTCACATAGCAACATACCTACGTGTACACATATACAACGCCTTGACAATGGCAGCAAAGCCTGTTTACACACACACACACATGGCTATTTTACACTTGTGTTTTTAACTGTTTACGCATAGTTCGGTAAAGTGTGTGTGTGTGTGTGTGTGTGTAGTAAGCAGACATAACAAAACAGTAAACACGAAAAAGATGAACTCACATCCTACCTGTTACATGCACCAAGTATTTCTTTCTTCACTTTATAAATATTTTCTTTTTCATTACCACCAAAGCGTGAAATTTTCTTTTGCTTCACTCGATCACTGCTTTTCAAATATTTTTCACCGTTAAAATATTTCCTGAGCAAAAACTTGTACTTAACCATGTTTGTGGCGTGGTGGTCTGCGCAAGACTGGGGATTGAAGAGCTGGCGCGGTTCTATTTAACGTAGCGCGGTGAGTCAGAGTGAAGGGTTGCGTCATGCGGCGAACATGCTCGCAGGGTAGATCTTGATGACCTTCAATCCCTCTTGAACTGATACTGAGAGTTGACTCGTGAAAATTTGCCAGTTTGTTTTTGATGTGGAGGTGAGATGTGGCGCGTGTGGCTATTGTCCATTTACACACTCATGGATTGTTGGCTGGCATTCGTAGGCTTCTAATGCCAACAACAGCAGATGGGTTGTTATTGTCCACCATCACCTAGTTTATACTTGATACTGACCACCACACCGGACCCGGTATATAGAAACATGAAGAGAGGGATATGAAGGGGAGGGTTGTACTAACGTAACTAACCCTTCCTTAATTTGTTCAGGTAAGTCATACAGGAGCGGCTCTACGCGCTGCAGCAGCTAACTTTACCTTATACTTTGCTACGAGTGGTCACTACAGGATTAAATGGAAAAACTGGGTGAGGCCAAGTCACCCCTACCCCTCAGGAGTAAGGGCCGCCATGGTACCTTGAGGGCGACGGACCACGACTGCACGTCTTCCCTCGGTGACTCTGACCAAATAATAAACATACTGTAGAACGTGAAGACAGGAATTGGTTAGAGTCTGACATTCCAAATCAGCGATACAGCCACGTCACACCCCCTCCTTCCCGTGACGATTATACTACTGGAATGAAATTACATGCCAACGTTAGTGTGATTAATATTAAAGTAAAATAAGCTCAAGGGGCTAATCTTAGGCGGTTCACTGCCGGTATGAAAACAGATAGACGAACCCAGAATATTTCCAGGAGATTATTTATACTTACTATTATTTTCTTAGCCACTGGTCGGCTCGTTAGCCTCTTGGGCGGTCGGTCACGTCTCTGTTACGACTGTTGGCAAGTACTGGACATGCACCGGCTCCTGAATGTATCTGTAAGTGTTGGTCAAGTCTGTTCTTGAAACAGCTCACACTCGGAATCATCACAACACTCTCGGTAGGTTGTTCCAAGAGTTTACAACTCTCACTGCAAAAATGTTTGCCTTCACTGTTTTCTGGACTTGGCTTCAACTAGATGAACACGGGTGAAGAAGCACCTAATGTAGGGTTGATGTAGAGACTATATGTATAACCCTCTGATAGGTATCTGTATTAGTGCACAGTGATGCACTTGTACCTAGCATGTGCACAGTACGTGGTGCAACGCTCAGCTCCCATGAACTACAAGCTTTCAGACGTCAACATGACGCAACAATAACTGTGTGACCTGACATGTTGAAACTTACATTGTGATATACGAGTACAGTAGATACCTGACTTCAAGTTATGTAATAACAAGGATATCATAACTACAGTAATTATCTGATATACAGTATTTCTGGTAAGTGGAGCATAACACATAACACCAGGAACCATCTTAGATAATATACCAGTTCAAACCGAGGTTTTTTCTCCACTGATCAACCGCCTCACATTCTTAACGATTCTTGCGTCAAAATGGATCACTGATGATTAACCTCCAGCTTATTTCACTTAAAAGTAACAACCCTAACACTAACCTAACCTACCCCCCAGGTACCATTAGGGTGCTTAATTATCGGGTGAAAAAACCTGGGATGGAGGGCTAATATGCAGGTGATTCATTAATATTTATTCCACGTATAATTAGATGCCAAAACGCCACCCGCATAACTCTCATAAATTACAGTACTTCGGATCCTTCAGGCAATCATTCTAGTAATTCATTCTATAACATTCTGAAACAATCCCATATATTCCAGAACCTTCCAGAATATTCGCCAATATTTCAGAACTTTCTATACTAGCGAATATTTCTGAGCTTTCTACAATATTCTCGAATATTCCAGAACTTTCTAGAATATTCCCAAATATTCCTTATTTTCTTATGTTCTTAAAAATAAGTTGGGGGGAGAAGGGTCAAATCTTCAGGTGATTCAATCACAAATGTTTAACACGGAGTACACGACACCTAGGCTAGCGGAACGTCTCTGAGCGGACAGACCGGGACTGTCTGTGAAACACGTTCTCACTCGTTCACTACTAAAATAAAGTTAGAACAGGGAAACGTGTTTCATTTAAGTTTGGCGACCAAGAAATTGCCAACCTGCCTAGCCGTATGAAATAGATGGAAAATATTCAGTAAAATCGGCACACAAGTTTACATTAACTCAACTGGTATATACAGTAGACAAAGAAGGTACACAAAATGTATCGACAGCGCAGGCGGTGCTACTATAGTATGTGGTCTAACGAGGAGTTGGTCCATTAACCTAACCTAACCTAACTGAACTTCACATAACCTAACTTAACCTAACCGAACATGATAGAACCTGGCCCAACCTGAGCTGACGCTACAGTGTAAATATCCCGGAAGACCAACTACAGCTCGGTAGACGGTCCTCATACTGTAGTAGCACCACGCAGCCACAAGGTGCGGAGACAAAAACAATGGTTTACTGTGTTCAACTAAAGACAAAGCCACCACGAGGACCAAACACTAAACAAGAGAAAGATATATTTACAAAAGTCACAAAATTTCCCACATTTGAGTGTTGGGTGGATAAAGGGAACGATCCGCCTTCCCACACTGGTAGTCCGTCTACATAAATCTTTAAAGCGTATGTACACTTGGACATTATACGAGTATTACTGAATGTGACACTGTCAAAAACGTCAGGCTTATTGTATCATTAACTATGTAACTACTACACTGAATCAGGAGTCCTTGATGACATTCTTGTAGTCTATTCTAAATTTGCTACTCCACACTGATTGGTCCTCAAACAGAATTTAACACTAATGAATATGACCTATATTGTATATGAACCACTCTCTTCCGTGGCGGTGAAGTGATAGCACCCTCAGTGTCAAGACGTGACTGAACTATTCAGAATAGACAAATTGTACTCCAAGCTTTGCCAATAAAGTTGTTAAACCAAAAAAGGTCACCATTCTGCAACGTTCACACTTGCCACCTGGAGTTGTACCTCATCTCACGCTGCTTGTTCATATTGTACTGCTGTAATGTTTTGGTTTAGTAGTTTGGTGTTCATCTTTTACGTCTTCAATTACAGCGTGTGTATTGTGACAGATTATTAAATATAGTAAATGGCAACAATGATAAATTAGGTATAAATGTCCCTGGCTGTGATTGTGAGTCTAGCTGCACACGTTCAGGCTAAAACTACACAGATAAACCAGAACGTGTGGATGGAAAACTAACTGCGCAATCTTAACGGTAGAGTCCCCAAAAATAACACAATAAGTATGGCCACGAATAGAGAATAACACACAGAAGAAGATTAAAACGAAATGATAACTACGACAAGGAAAAGGTGTGTGTGTGTGTGTGTGTGTGTGTGTGTGTGTGTGTGTGTGTATCACTCTGATTGTTTATCTAACTTTCTCTCTCTGTGGCCGTCACATGGTGTCACCCCACGGCGTTGATAACCTGAGAGAGTTATTTGTGTGAATGGTGAGGACATAAATGCTTGTGTTGTGCGTGTGGGGGGGGGGGTATGTGCGTGTTTGTGAATATCTGGGGTTCTATTTTTAAAAACATAAGAATGGAAGAAACTACAGGAGGGCCTATTGGGTCATATTGGGTAACCTCGTTTACACCCAATCGCTCCTATATCCGTCCAACCTATATTTGAAGCTACCCAGCGTGTTCCAGTAAATGATTATGTTTGGTAACTTCTTCGCGGGGGTTGTTTGTGAGTGTGTGTGGGTATTTGTTTGTGAGTGTGTGTGTATTTTTGAGTGTGTGTGTATTTGTGAGTGTGTGTGGGTATGTGTTTGAGTGTGTGGGGGTATGTGTGTATTTGTGAGTATGTGTGAGTGGGACAGGTAGTGTGTGTTTGTGAGTGTGTAGGTTATAAGTGTATGTGGGGGCTTATGACTGTGTGAGTTATTTGCGTCCTTGTAAGTGTGTGTGTGTGTGTGTGTGTGTGTGTGTGCATCTGTGGGGTGTGTGCGTCTGTGGGGTATGTGCGTCTGTGGGGTATGTGCGTCTGTGGGGTATGTGCGTCTGTGGGGTATGTGCGTGTTTGTGAGTGTGTGTGTGGGTTATATGCGTGTTTATGAGTGTGTGGATTATGGCTATGTTTGTGAGTGTGTGAGGATGGGTGGGTGTGTGTGTGGGGGTGGTTGTGTGCGTGTATGTGTGTATTTGGAAGTGTGTGGGTTAAGTGTTTGTTTGTGTGTCTGCGGGTATGTGTGTGAGTGTGGAGGTGTGTACGTGTTTCTGCCTGTGTGTGCCATAGCCTCATGCATCGCCACACACACAAACTTGTTTATTCCTGTAAGCATGACGTCGGACTAAAAACTTGTCGATAACGTAATACAAAAGTCTGACGTAGCAGATGCATTGGATTGTATTTATTTCACTACAGGGCAGAAGAATCATCCAGAGTGCGAAGGTCTGTAAAATCAATGTCAAAGAGTCACGTAATAAAGGGTTAAGGAAATTTTAATATGTAAGAGGAGCGAAAACGTCGCTCTGTGTTTACATGACGTCATCTTTGGCGTGACGTCATGAGGGAGGCGGCCGCACAGTGAATCCGGCTTTGTTTTCCGAGAACATGACGATACAGTAGTTTCTCCTTTATAACAAGGTAAGGTGGACACTGTGATACAGAGACAATCCCACCTGTGTATAACTACAGTACAAGTAAAACAACCATAATTAAATATCCTAATAAAGTTAGCCACAGAAAGTCCGCGTGAGGAGCCGTAAAGCCTGTATCACTATGACGCAGCCATATTGGCCACGCCCACGTCTTGTGACGACACACTTCCTGCCATTAGTCAGCCACTTTTAAAAACGGAACTAAGGTTGTGTGAGCCAAACCCTCCTTATATTCTAAGTAAACTTCCTAGTACTCGCTTCTATTTCACGTTTATCAACAAAAGTGAAATCATGGAGTTTCCTTTTCATTCTTTTTAACATAGTATGAATACAAACTGAA